GGATAACTTCTAACACAACAAGAACGAAATTGATCAAATACTTCTTAATCATGGAATAAATACTTTTCATTTAACTTTTGCATTTTATAAAGCAAATGATATGTTGATGAAAGTAGATAGCCATTTCATTTACAGTAGTATCCACAATTATATCCCGCATTGAGAATTTGTTAACGTCTATGAAATGGAGAAAAGCAGTGGACGATCATCTTATTAAATGTATTCGTAACCCGTCTCCCATTTTTCAGTTCTTTACTTTTTAAAATTAGTCATGATTAAAGCTATACTGGATGTTCTCATTCTTTTTAACAGACGTGTCCATAATATAGCGCCATCTTTATTTGTTTGCATATATTATGGATAGAAATTGCACACCAATCAATTTTTTTCCTCTCGTGTCACTCTTTGTTTATATTTAATGGAATCAATGTATCTTGAAAAAAAATCTTTTGTTGTTATTTTTTGGTATCACACCGATTGATCCACGCTCATCTTAGGTTAGGGTGATAATTTATTGAAACAAAAGAAATTCTTGTTCGCATTATACACATCCTAATCTATAGACACATTGACTACATAGCATTGTACGAGAGCGATGAGGTCTGTGTGATCTTTAGTAGTATTGAAAAATATATGGGAAAAAATATTTTCTTCGAATCAGATCGATCTGAAAAACTTCCTCGAATATCAGTCATTTACTTTTGTAAGGTAACTATTCTGATAATGCATAAATATTGACCTTATGAGGATATGGTTTCACAGTTTTCTATTCAATCGTAGAAGCATTTGAAAGTTCATGTGAATGTTAGAAAATCTGAAGAATATTTTAGGTTTTACAGAAAGATATAAAAGCTTTTTGTATTTTCTTGAAAACAAATATTTTGATCATACAGACTTTGCAATATTCTTTTAGATCATATTATCTATTGTTCAATTTTTACGTGTATAATTAAATAAAATCTGAAACAATATGGAAAGGTAATATAAAAAAAAAAAAAATAATTTTCTCTTTCTGTCATAAGTGTCTGATAGACATCAAGGCGATGCTTCGGAAAATGTGCTCCATTTTACTTACGCTTTACGAGAATGGAATAAATATCTTTAAGATTTTTGGAGTTGAGCCTGTAAGCATAACCATAAATTCAAAACACTTTGAGAACCTTCAGAAGAGACCCAATTAGAGATGAAACAGGAAAAGTAGGACGTTTCAGCCGCATGAAACTTTGACTAACTTCTCGATTTTAAATGATTGAAGCTTAAAAATTTTATCATAGATACTGCTTCTTAAGATGATCATTTTTTGTAACAGACGTTATCTTTTTTCACGTTCCGTTTTCTTGACAAACAGCTGAACAAAAATGTCAGTTTTGAATTGTTTTGCTGAATTCAGATATCTTTATGAAGTCTAAATGGACTTTCAACTTTTATTAATGCTTTTCAGTTGTCAAACAGTCTTCTATTTAATGGTGAAACTTCTAGCTCTATAGCTTGTCATTGGGCAGAATGACTTAGATATATTGAGAACCTTTTATTCCATCGTGAATCTTCATCAGACACAACCACTGGATTCCTAAAAGTATCCACTATAGTGAACTCTCGTTAATACATCTAACTCTACCATTCCTGAAATTTTCGCTTTTGGCCATAAAATTTGACTAAGAAAATCGATCTTGAATTTTTTGTTAGAAGATGACTCTTGTAGTTAATAATTATAAACATGATCAAAAACATTCCTGACCAGTTTTCTTCATCTAATCGCCTTGGCCAAAAGCGAAAATTGTAGAAATGGTGAAGTTAGATGTACTGCTGAAGGTATACTCCAGGACGAGCTTCTACAAATCCTGTGGTTGCGTCCAAGAAGAGTTCGAGTGGGAAAATTTTCGAAAATAGATCCTGAAGATGCCATTGCCATTCAGTGCAGGAGCAAGCTACAAACCGGCAAATTTCCACGCTTGATAGAGAACATTAAAAATTAGTATTTTCTTATAGGAATGTCTGAGAAAAAGAAAACATGAGCAAGAAAAACATTCTCTACAGAAGATAATTATCTTCAACAGCAGTATCTGTAATAAAATTTTCAGGCTTATATGATGTGAAACTGAGGAACTAGATGGGACCCAGTTTGACTGGTTGGCTTCAGCTGGCCGTCTCTACTCTATTTGGAACTCTTTCTAAGGTTTTCAAATTTTTTTAACTAACGACTACGCTTACAGATCCAAGTTCTAAAAACCCAAAAAGTTTTATTCTATTTGCAAAAATTCGATTTAATGAGTACCTACAATTTTGTAGTCGACAAAATTGATGTTTCCCGATTTAATTGTGCCGATGTCAAAAAACTCGTATGAGATTTTTTCATACTATGCATTTAGATTTGTTAAAGTAATGGAATTATCAAAACCCGATACCGCATTGAATATGCCTATCGATGAACAATATTCGATGTCGGAAGAAATGTTGAAGTTGGCCTTTCCAGGCAGCTCAGGCTTGAAGTATCAATGTGCCCCATCTAATGAATGATTTTTGTGAGTATTCATTATTCTAATTATTCCATTTGCTGGCATCCTACTGACAATCTGCATAAAAAGTGAAAAAAAAGGATCTTCATCGTCGAAAAAAAAGTGAGGATTAGAAGAGGCGCATGACTTTGGTTATAAAAGCGTAATAAATGATTGCATAAGGATCAGAAGTCTGTAAGTTAGCGTGTTGTTAATTTGCATGTAGTGCTAACTCATATAAGTCAAACATTGAGTGATTTTCAATTGTTAATATTAACCGTCGTATAATCATGGGGACTGTTGAGCGTAGAACGAGGAAGATTCCAGAAAGCAGGAGCAGGATATCCTTCACAAATATTTGACTATAAAATCACTTTAGATGGATAAAGAGTGTATACTAAGTGTTGACCCTTTTTTCCAATAATTTATTGGAAAAGACGATCAGAACTTAGTACACACCTTTTATGTCAGGCCAAGAAGTTGAAATGATTCAAAAATTCAATAATCACGTTTGTAATAATTGATAAATGAAAAGTTTACACTATACTACTGAAATGTTCTATAGTTTCTGAAGACTTCATGAACATCTTTTAGTGTCGTTGATGCAACATTTTATTTGTATCAAGTGTGATCCAATTCTTCTCGATCGATAGCGATCACCGGTTGAAAATCAGACATTTCACTAAAACATGTGAAATCTTGCATCCAATAATTCGTACAATAGTGATGCCATGTTAGGTTTTCAACTGTGATTAATCATTCCTTAATCATTCCTACCGTTGTTTTATAACTGTTAAGTGGATGCATAAAATAAAAACGACATAAATCTGTTTGAAAGTTGGGTGAAAATCAATGTCATATTCTTTTAGTATGTGGAAACGAAAAAGAAAAGAAGACGAAAACACTTTATGAAGGTAATGGTGGGCGTATTTGTTGCTTATGTGTGCTGTTATAACACTGAAATATGGTCTCGTTATCAAGCGATGAAGAATTAAAATTTGAAAATAATGTTGACATATCGACATTTCGAGTAAGAATACTAAAAGAAGCGTATTAAACTATTAAAACTTTTGTTTTATGAAGGCACTAGTCAATACATACAACAGTGAGTTATTTTATAATTACTTATGTTTATAATATTAATTAGTGACATGTTAAAGAAGATGCACCTGCCAATCAGAAAGTTCTTGTACAACAGCCATACGAACGTGAAGACGCTCTGCCTCTGAAGAAAAATCTAGTGAACACATGATATCATTCAATAGAGGCATCTCGACGATGATCAAAGACCGAGAGAATCAAGTCCATGTTGTAACCGAAGACAGATTAAGTCATG